CTTTTGGCCTTCATGGGGATGCGCTTTATCGCTTGAAAATATCATTTCTTCATGGAAATCGGTAGGAATCGCGCCGTGGGATCCCGAGGTCGTTTTATCTCGATTTAGCCGAGATAACGATAATCGGCCTTCCTCTAGTGATTCATCTCGCTCAGTACTCGGTGCAGAAGATTGGAGAAAGATCGAGAGGCTTCTCAAGCATGCAGTCAGCGATTTGTATGATCAAAAGGCCCAAAAATTGAGTTCTACGATGCATCATCTCTCTACAGAGAATATCATCTTAAAACTGCGCTGCCAAGGCCTTGAAGAAGCTCTACAACTAGAGAAGAAGAAGCGCCAGCGAGGCAAGCCTCTTCTTTTTGAATTACGAGCCCCTGAGGATGGTTACGCGGTGTTTTACTCTCCTAAGAAGATTCAGCAAGCTCGTGACCTTCAAGCGGAGAAAGATGAAGCTATACAGCTCGCTAAAGCTTCAAAAGAAGAGGATAGGATTCGTAAGCAGCGAGAGAAAGAGGAAAAAAAGCTTTTAGTCGAAGAACGCAAGCGAATTCGCGCTTCCAATCGAGAAATGAGGCTCCGTGAAGCAGAAGAAAAGAAGCGGAAAAAGCAGGATAATCAGCTCGCTAAGCAAGCTGATATACAGCTCCAAAATGACTTCAATTCGGCTCAGCGAGGCAAAAGTAAGCCTCCTAGCATACCGCGGGCGAAAATTTCAAATGATATCGCTCCTGTAGGCGTTGAGGTCGTTGAACAGGCTCCTCCAACGCTCAACCGCCGAGGCAGGCAAATACGCCTCCCACAGCGCTTTCGCGATTAAAAAAAAACGTGTATAGCTTCATTTCTACGCATATTTCACTCCGCTCAAAAATTTCTATATAATTCGGCTTGTATGTGGTTGTATGGCTTCAATTTCTATATGGGCGCTGAGTTGAAAAACGGGCGTCAGGTGGGGACGGGCGTCAGGTGATCAACTACGGTACGGAATATTTGCGTCAAGAAATAGCAATTATTGATGACTAGAGTGACAATAGTATCCTTCGTTTCACAATATCACATCTACTTCAACCCAAGCCTCTGAGCCTCGAGCTGAACAGTGTCAGGAATATCCTCCTCTAAGCTCTTTTCCTTAGGGGCCCATCCCAAAAGACTCGGAGCCCGCTGAGACAACTGCCGTGCATTTGTTCCCCAAAAAATACTACCGCTAGGCATTAGAGTGTCTGCTTCGTCGTGACTGACCACATTAACCGAAGTGGAATCCACGAGGCCAAGTCGATGCAACTCTTGAGTCAAATGCTCCGAGATCGCTTTCCAGGGCTACGTAGAATTAGATCTTATTTCGAGATATTCTGTTGTGAAGACTTACCAGAGCTCCCGTTCCAGGGAAATACAGCCCGTTCTCGTTCCAAAGGGCATTGTTGTCGCCCTGCAGCGCTTGCTCAACAAGCTTGACAAAGATATTGCTGAGATCGGAAATTTGAACGCTGCTCCAGATGCTCTCGCCCTTTTCAACTTGGAATCCGGCGCGACGTTGCATCGAAATCCTTGCAAGGTTTGGGATCTGGATACTTCGCTGGTTCACTGGTCCTCTGCCGCGGCCATAGATGATGGGAGGGAAAATCAGGGCGGTTCTGGGTCGCGTGGAAGATACAGGCAGGTTGAGAAGATAATTGTCGACTATACGAGTGGCGGAGTGACGTCGGATGTGCGCGCGAAGCTCCTCGGCGCCATCAAGATCACTGTAAATCTTCTCTGAGAACTCCCCAAAGGTTTTCTTCTCGATGTCGGCGATAGACAAAAGCGCTGCTCCGGATACCTGCAGCCAAATGCCTGAAAGGTGTGAGTATGAACGAAAAACATAGCAACAAAGGAGTCCTGCTGTGTACCGTTCTTGTTTCTACCGGACGCGCTCAGTCCGCGGCAAATAGCCTCGACGCTCTTGATATGTTTGTTGTTTGCGGCGTCTTGACGATCTAGTTAGCTAAAAGACCAAACACAATCAGCAATATAAAGCTAACTCACGGATTACAATGTCTGCGCGGCGGGCTTCTTCCTCGATCAAGGATGTTGCATCTAAATCTCCGTGCACAACGCGGACATCAGGGTATGCCTTCGTAACTTGATCGGCTTTCGCAGAGTCTCGTAGCAGAGCAGTATACTCGAGTTGGGGAAAGGCTGACTTGAGAGTGTGGAGAATGTCACCACCGATGTAGCCCGAAGCTCCGGTTCTATACGACAGCGGGTTAGTATATCTCCCAGAAAATCGCACTTGGTTACAACAAACTCACAGAAAGACCCGTGCCATTGTGTTTAGGTATGTTTTGAGACAATATATGATCTGAGTAGTTGTAACTTGCAACTTCTCAGTCAACGATCGCGTTTAATCAGATTCCTGAGCAGGTGGGGTGCTGCCCTGCCAAAACGGGAATGCGATTCCGCGGAAGCCCTAATCTCCCACGGGAGCCAGCGACTATGGGGAAGCCTACCCCCATGAACATCATTCCCCAGTTATTCCCCAGAGATGGGGTAAAGTATTCCGATGAAGCTCCTGTAATTGGCCAGAGATTAGGCATAACTGCGACTTTGCGTCTCTTGTGAACAGCGGGGCCTGCAAATACCTCCGACCAAGGAAAGTGGCTTCTGAATCCGGACGATGAGCTGTCCGTAGCTCTGGCCTGTCTGAAGAATATAACTCCTGGATGAAGACATCTGCTTCATTCCCTGAGATCCAATTACTTTCACAAGCAGAGCTTCGGAGTCAAACAGCAGCAGCAACTTCGACTAAGGAAACATGGCCCACCGAGGAGAAACACTGCATAAAAATGTTAGCTGTATAGCTGATCTAAAGGCTCTTGGGAGCAAGAAGCTCCCTGTCATGATAAGAGGTATGTGGTATCTGGCAAAAAAAGAGATTGAGCAAGAGCTCGGACTGATGACTATGGAATTGAAGATTACTATAATGAGGGTGCCATGGACCTTATCACGTCAGTATCATCCTTCTGCCATCAGCAGCCTTCATCAAATGATACTAACACTGATTGTATAGACTGCGAGAGAACGAGGCCGCTTTTGACCGCTACAAAATCCGACCACGGATCCTCGTTAACGTGGACAACATTGATACCAGCACGGAAATACTGGGCACCAGGGTACCTACCATCCAACTAAGTCTAGCTACACAGACACAACGCAGTATTTTGACCAGTGTGCCGTACTTTCTAGGTCGCCCTTCCTTTCGGGTTCAGTCCCGCCGCCTCGCACAAACTAGCCCATCCCGACGGTGAGCTCGCGACGTCACGCGCTGCGGCGAAATTTGGTGTCTGCATGGGTCTGTCCTCGTACTCGAACCATAGTCTCGAGGAGGTCGCCGAACAAGGGTCCGGCAACCCATATTTTATGCAGATGTGTGTCCTGCGGGACCGATCCATCACTGTGCAGTTGTTGGAGCGTGCTGAGAGTACGTGCTCATTCTACGCATTGTTGCTGTTCGTTGGGTTTATTACTGACAATGCAAGTAGAGGCCGGGTATAAAGCCTTGTTTCTGTCCGTGGACGTTCCAGTCCTAGGCAAGCGATTGAACGAGTACAACAACAACTATCAACTGCCGGCTGATATGTCCTGGCCCAACATCCTCAGCCACGGAAGTGATACATCCGATCGTACAGAATATGGTGAGATCTTGAACGTGAATAATGAAATACAATGGTTGCTCTCTCTGACTTGTCAAGACCCAAGCCTCGACTGGGCCAGTACCATACCGTGGCTTCGTCAACACACGAAACTTCCGATCTGGTTGAAAGGAGGTAAGCTACTCGTCTGCCTTTGAACATAATATACTCATCAAATCATAGTATATTGCCCCGAGGATGTCGAGATCGCAATCCAGAACAAACTCGACGGAGTTGTAATTTCCAACCACGGTGGTCGCCAGCTTGACGGCGTTCCCGCAACGCTCGATGCGCTGAGGGATTGCGCCCCGGTCGCAAACGGACGAATTCCCATAGCAATTGACGGCGGCATTCGGCGAGGCTCAGATGTCTTCAAGGCGCTGGCACTTGGAGCGGACTTTTGCTTTGCCGGACGGATACCAATCTGGGGCCTTGCTGTAAGAATCTTCCTCAATATCTTTGGACCACGTGGTATATGGAGGTTGAGGTTGGCTAATGGCAGTCTATAGTATGGCGGACAAGAAGGCGTCGAGCTCGCAATCAGGATTCTACGTCAGGAATTGAAAATCACTATGGCTCTGGCAGGGTAAGCATCCGCAATGTGGAAAGACCCTTCGTAGCGCTGACAATCTTTATAGCTGTCGATCGATATCTGAAATCCGCAAAAGCTATTTGTCGGTTCTGCGACCTGATGGAATTCTATCTAAGCTGTAATCCCTGCAAGGCCTTTGCATACACATTTTCATTCTAGCAAGCTCTCATACACTCAGACTTTAGTAGCTCATTTTAATTTGCATTTTTATATCGAGTTATAAGTTGATGGCATCATAAAACCGCTATGTAATCCACATAAATGAAATGCGAATATGAAGGCAAAAAACTGCCACATTGACCTTAACCCACCGTACACCAGACCATAGATGGAGCACCAAACCATTTACCAACTCTCCCAAAACTGCGCATCAATCGCCACCAACCGATTAAACAGCTGATTCCGTGCCCTCATGCCCGTAACATGATACAACTGACCCTCCTGAGCGCCCGAAACCACCAACCCATCAGCCGCCTCTTTACTTCCCGCCGTCAACTCCACAATCAACTTCCCCTTCCACCCCAATCCCTCCGTTTTCTTGAGCTCTCTGATCTCCGTGACAGGGATCTGGAATAAGACAGCACTCTTCTTCTGGCCTTCGACTCGCAGATCATGGAGATTAGCGGAGTTCGCCGTTGTGAAATACAGCACGGGCGTCTCCTTCGAAGAATCAAGAACGACAGTCCCGCGCTTGCGCTCGAACTTAGCGTCGAATTTCAACGGCCCCAGAGGTGCAGAGACCCAGCCTTTCTGGTGCAGCATGCCGATAAGATGTTTGGTATGGGTAGAGTTGGCGATCGCGAGGGCACGATCCAGCGCGACGTGGCTTTTGATAGCGGTTGCGATGGTGCGTCGTACGAAGCGCAGCACCTTGTAGACCCAGCGGCGTTTGGGCTTTGCGTCTACTGGGGAAGAGGTGTCCTGAGTGCCCAGGGTGGTGGTTGATGGGGAGGTGAGGGACTTCTCGTCGTTGGTTTCTTCGCCGAGGGTTAGTGCTTTCGAGAGTTTGCGGCTGATAGGCATCGAGGCGTCTGGGGTCTGAGAGGTGGGAGGGGGTGGTAGAGGGCTGCAGTTGAGTTCGCCGATGCGTAGTAGTGTCAGAGTGAGCTGTGCGTTGGTGGGGATTCCTTTGAGGAGGGTCCTAGATGTAATGCATTAGAATATGAGGAAGGTGTTGGGATATAAGGGCCATACATCTGAAGGTCGAGATATTTCTTCCAATCGGGGATGTTAGTGTTCAAATAGTCCATCGTGCGCTGGAAGACCGGATCGCCGAAGAACGCCAGCCCGACCACGAAACCAGCACCCTTGACAATCAAATAGCTAGACGTGAGGGACGCAACAACAGCGATACCGAACAGAATACCGACGATTTTCAGTCGCGTGGAGATTGCATAGAACGGCGGTGTGGGAGAGAGAACACTTTCGGGAACAGTTAGAACGAGTATTCCAAAAAAAAAAAAAAAAAAAAAAAAAAAAAGACAAGATGACATACTTCGCAAACCTCTCATACACGTCCGTCACGTCGCTGATAATCCGCATGATTTGGTCCGTCGCCTTGCCGACCTTCTTTTTCATGGGCTGCTTGGTTTTATCTTCGGTCGGGCCCGCCTCACCCTGCGCATCGGCCGCTACCGCTCCGGCATCGATGATATCTGGTTCCGGTGCTGGCTCGGTAGTATCCTCCTTAACAGCCTGGCCATATTTTCCGGCCGCACTCTCAATTGCAACGTTCGCAATACTGTTCACAAAATTATTGGCCTCCTGCTCAGCCGCCTCGCCCTTGTATTTCTCGGGCGCCCCGGTGATACTATCTCGTGAGGCTGGCTCGCCAGTCGGCTTTACATCACCCGTGCTTGGGTCAACCTGAGATGTAGGAACAGGAGGGAACATTAACGGTCTGAGTCCAGGGAACATGATCAGACCTATTAGAGTGCCAAGAGATACCAGGGCAAGAAGATCGACGATCCACGCGAGGAAATACACCTGGCATGCGTCAGCATAGCATCCTGAACGGCTCAGAGATACTGAGATGATGAGAATACGGACATACCCCACAGAAAACGGCCGTCCGACGGGGCTCCTTCCACGACCTCAAGCGTACCACATGATTAAACAGATCCGTAACCCCTACAATCACAGAGGTATAGAAGCGCTCAATCGTCATGCGCAGCTTCTCCGGCGGGAACTGTTCATCTTCTGCGCGATTCAGATCCAGCACGCTCTGCGTGGTATCTTGCGTCGCTTTAACATAGTAAATTTGCTGTACGAGGTTCGTCAGTCAGTGATCCTTCAGACATGCCGGGGCACAAGGGGGCAGGGAAATACCTTGTTAAACCGTCTAATCAGCATCCAGAGATCCTCGTTGGACAATCCCTCGGCGAGCTCTTCCTCCTCGACCTTGTTCGATCGCTTATACGCCATATAAGGCGTCTTGCGCTTCGTGATGGCCTGGACCGCGCTGGTCTCATCCGCGTGGTCGGCCTCAGGCTCATCATGCTCTGGTTCGACGCGGACCGCGTCGAGGCTTTCATCGCTGGCGTTGCGGTCGGCCAGCTCGCCCGGCATTCCTGGCGTGGTGCTCATGGTTTTTACTTTCCCCGAGTGTGAAGAATGAAGGGGAAAAGGGACAGTTAAGGTTCCGGTGGTTGTTGACAGATTGACGGTCCTGGATTAGCGGATGAGTGAAGTGAAGTCGTCCCTGTGGGGGTGGGTCGCTGACGTCATGCGCCGCGGCGTGGAGAAGCCTAGTTTGTTGCTATTCTGGGCGCAGTATGGAGTATAGTAGGCAGTGTTCTACGTTCTAGGCGGTAGCATTTCGAAGCAAGTTACCAGCATGTCAAATTAAGATTAAGCTATCGATCGGTACACCTAGAACACCTCTTAAACATTCGCTCTATACAGAGGAAATGGCTTGTCGCCCTTCTTCACTCCAGCCGCATATCCCACCTTCTCCCCAGGCTCCTTGAACACCGTCTCTTTTTTCTCAACAGTCGCGCACCCGTTTCCAACATTCGCCTCGAAAATTTCCGGCAACTCGTCAAA